GCACATATAGTTCACTACATCACCCATATGTGCATTGCTGTGCTCTATTCCCAAATAAATATATTTGTCCTCTAGAGAGACTCTCTTGCTGTTTGTCATTTGCCTTGACTTTCTGCACATATGTGGCACAGACTTACTGACCTCCTGCTGCCACTGAAACCAAGATTTCTCCCTCTATCTTGCTTCCCTCTGGCACATCTCAGATTCTAACATGGTCTTGGCAACACTGAACACTCTCTTCCGGTGAGATAATTTTGTCTGAATTATTGTTTTCATACTTTAGGGTTACCTTCTTTGAAAATTCGGTGAGGATGGGGCTAGTGCCCTGCTAACTCTTTTGGCTTATTTTAAAAAATGAGAAATATTTGAGATTTAGTTCACATGAATTCAACTTTGGAGGACTTGCTCTTGCATTGTAATGGAAAATAACCCAGGTTGTCTACCAGCTTTCCCTGAATTCTGCATTGGGTGTTCTACCCCAAATAAAAGGTTTATGAAGAAAAAGGAATGTTCCTGTCAATGACAACTAATGTTAAGTCTCTGCTTTTCTCTATGGCTGACCCCCCAAAGAGGATTAAATGCTATCATATATTAGACTCTGGAAATACTATTGAGAGACACAAACTTTGAAATTTGGAGAGCTAATCTGAATGATCAATTAAGTAGTACTAATCTTGGGTAAAGATTACTGTTATTAATATGATGAATCATTTTTATCTTTATGATTAGAGACTGACACATGACTCATTTTTAGTTTTCTCATCTACATAGCAGATCAGTTAATGATATCCTCTTACATTTTGGAATCATTTGCCACCACATTCTTGCATGATAGGTTGATCCAGGTGTATTTGTAATTTTTTTCTATTTGAAGAAAATTCAAAAATATCCTTCAGCCTTTTTGTTATGACCAGGAGCTTGCTCTTACTCTGTAAACCTCTATTTCTCTATCTAAATAAACTTTCCTTTAATGCTTGCAAAAAAACATTATCCTTAAACCAACATACTGGTTAAAGCCCAGATTTTTCAGTCAGCAGATTTTAACATTGTCAAAACTTGCACAGGGCATAGAAAAGAAAGATAGGAGATGAATCCTCAGAATGAACATCTCTGAATTCATGATATAGAAAATGACAACCTTGCCGAGTCTCTTATTAGTGCCTTGAGTGGTGACAGGGAGGCATAAATGTAGACAGAGGTTGTAGGATATTGCAAAGGGAAAATACAGCTCTAATACATATAGAACCACATCCAAAACTTTACCTCCCACTTAGATTGGAGGTGCCTATAGCAGCTACTGGAGTTTTGATTGTGCCATGACACTTGTTAATCAAAAATCCAAAGGTCAAGAGCTTCTGAAGCAAAGGTCATATACGAGTAGGAAATGCTATTTCTCTTAGTCATATCTATGATATGAAGTAATTTTGCCTGGAATATAAGTGGCCATATCTATGATATTTGATTCTGGGATTGGGGTCTGCATTTCTCCAGCACACATGGCATTTTAAAAGCTCTGCCTTCCTGTAAGTCAGCAGTTCTCAACCTTTCAGAGGGGTCACCTAAGACCATCCAGATATTTACATTACAATTCATAACAGTAGCAAAATCACAGTTATGAAGTAGCAAGGAAAATAATTTTATGGTTGGGGGTCACCACAACATGAGGACCCCTATTAAAGGGTTGTGAACCCTTCCTTTCATTAGGAAGGTTGAGAACCACTGCAAGTGAATATCAACACACACACACACACATACAGCCAGACCAGAAGGGAGGATAAGGGACATCAGAGAAGGAGGGGTGGGACTAGAAAAAGGACACCTTGAGAACATTAGGAAGCAGTGACAGAGGGACTGAGAAGAGAAGGCAGCGGGGAGGGAGGAAGGCTGAGTCAGGCAGATAAACCAAAGGCTCCATCTAGGTTAGAGCAGACTGGGAGAGAAGCAAATGTTTTATGTCAACCTTTTGTGCTACACACATGCGAATAAAGGGGAGGAAGGTGATATGACCTTTCAGAATCACAAGGGGGCTTTCCATGGTGATCTGAAGGAAGCTGAGGACACAGAGAGCAGCTGGAAGTCAGGGAGGAAAGAGAAAGTCCAGAAGTCAGAGCAGGGGTGATGGTGGAGAACAATAGGCGGGTATAAGGCTCAGGGCTATAGGAGGCATATTTTATCTCTGAAATGCACTTTGGATGAGGAAGAGATTTGTCAGTTGGAAGAGAGAGGAAGTTACTACAGCTACTGAGAAAAAGGTTTGCTGAAATCAGAGATCAAACACCAGCTCTACAAGTCAGAAGTTCTATCTCCCGGGGAAATGCTGCTTCTGCCATTTCAATTGTTAGCTGTTCTCCTCCCAGGTGCTGACAGTGAGGATGGTAAGAGTCACTCTGGCAGCTCCCTGCACTGTTGCAAGAGTATTGGGCTAAAGTAGATTGCACTACCCAGGTGCACTCAGACACGAAGGCACAAAGGCTCTGAACTCTGTGGTCTCCAGCCCTTGTTTCCTTTTGTGGGTATTTGGGCTGGAGTCTGAATCCCTAGGGCAGTCACATGTGTCAGGCTTTATGTGTTCTTCATCATCCATTCATCTGGATCTTTTCCATTTCCATTCCTTCTCATTCCCTCCTGCTGTCCCTTTCTCTTCACAGGCTTCCAGGGACCAAGCTCTTACCATGTCATCCAGATTTCATCCTTCACCAACAGCACCTGGGCAAAAAATCGAGGTTCAGGCTGGTTGGATGATTTACAGATTCATGGCTGGGACAAGGACAAAAACACTGCCATATTCCTGAAGCCCTGGTCCAAGGGCAACTTTAGTGATGAGGAGGTTGCTGAGATGGAAGACCTATTCCGAATCTACTTCTATGGATTTACTGAAGAAATGCAGGCACGTTCCAGTGAATTCCAGATAGAATGTGAGTCCAGTCACTGAATGGCAAACATGCTCAAAGACTTTCTCCTCTCTCCTTTTGCAAATTGCTAGTCTTTCCCCTGCTTTCTGCTCACCATCTTCTGGAGCAGTCCCTCCCTCTGACTGTGAACCTCACACCTTATTTCAGATTCTGGCCACCTCTGATTCTTCTCTGAGGGATCAAGCCTCCCTGTTACCAACCCCTGCTTTATCTTATGTAGGCCTGGCTCCTCAAGGGCCCTTATTCTCTCCCTGGCCCAAGTGACCCACACTATAACTCCCTCCTCTGATCCGCCTCTTCAGCCATCTCCTCCCTGCACTGTTCTTGCTGCGGTCCTCTGTCTCACGCTGAAATGCTGTGCTCTGGGCTGCATCACGCTCTGCCTCCCCACTTCTACTATACCCTCACACCTTCCCAATGCTCTTCTTTCTGGAAAGCTCTAAATGCTGAATTGGGGTTGGCTCATCATTTCACATCCAAGAACTTCATCTCAACCAAAATCTGACATCGTAGGTCCTTTTCTTGCAACTTCGTTTCTTATTCATGTTTAATAACTTGTTCTCTATCATCTTTCTACCTAGACCCCTTTGAGTTCCAGGGCACAGCAGGCTGTAAACTACAGTCTGGGGGAGCTGTGCTAAGCTTCTTGAGAGGAGCTTTAGGAGGACTGGATTTCCTGAGATTCGAGAATGATACGTGGGTACCTTCCCCAGAGGGCGGCAGCTCAGCACAGGCAATATGCACACTACTCATGAAATATCAAGGCATCATCGACACCGTGAAGAAACTCCTGTTTGAAACTTGCCCCCAATTTCTCTTGAGTGTCCTCCATGCAGGGAAGGCAGAGCTGCAAAGGCAAGGTGAGTCCTGCTCTCTACTCCCCTTCCCACCACCTGCTCTGAGCTCACGACTAAGAGGTACCCAAGGAGGATAGCAGCTAATCAGAGAGCTATTTGCTTCTAGCAACCATAGAAGGGTCACAGTCCAACCTTGTGGCTTTCTGAGTCCCTATCATCTCAATTCAAGTCCTGATAAGACACTTTCACTGTCCCTTCCACAGTGAAGCCCAAGGCCTGGCTGTCCAGTGGCCCCAGTCCTGGACCTGGCCGTCTGCTGCTGGTCTGCCACGTCTCAGGATTCTACCCAAAGCCCGTGTGGGTGATGTGGATGCGGGGTGAGCAGGAGCAGCCAGGAACTCAGCACAGCAACCTCCTGCCCAATGCTGACTGGACATGAAATCTCTAAGCCACCCTGGATGTGGTGTCTGGAGAGGCGGCCAGCCTGTCCTGCCGGGTGAAGCACAGCAGTCTAAAAGGCCGGGACATTGTCCTTCACTGGGGTGAGAAAGAACAAGGTCCAGGCTGGACATGGGAGGAGGAGGTCCTCAGGCACAGAGGGAGGCACTAGGGAAGGAGGGGCTTGACAGTAAAGAGGGAGAGGGAGGGAGAGAGACTGATTGATTTCTGGGACACTAATTCCAACAGGAATAAAAATAGAGAAATCAAGATACAGAAGAGGTAAAAATGAAGAACCTACATTGTATCAGTTGGGGCTAGAAAGATCACAGCAGGTGAATGGCAGTATTGACACTCAGGTGTCCAAAAGAAGGAGAGGGAATTCAAGGCATGGGGTTTAAAATGACATCCTTTGGTCCTCTTTGAATTGCCAGGACACCACGTTCCCATCTGGTGGATCTGTTTGGCAGTAGTTGTGCCCTCCTTCATCCTTTTGCTATGCCTCACATTATGGTATAAGAGACGCTGGTGAGTTGAGTTGTTTGTTTGGTTTTTTTTTCTCTCTCTCTCTCTTAGTCTTTTTTTTTTTTTTCTGGCCATTCCCCCACTCTTTTCCATGATCTTATTGATTTCTTTCCTTTAGTTACAATCTTTCCACCAGATTCTCTTTCCACACCTCCCATATCCTTTATATGGAGATATAGTTTTTAATCCTGCAAAAATACACAGAACAAAAATTATCATCTTTACCATTTTCGAGTGTATAGTTAAGTGATGTTAAGTGCATTCGCATTATTATGAAGCAAACTCCAGAGCTCTTCCATCCCGCAGAACTGAAACTCCATTCCTATAGAACAGCAATGTTCCACTTCCCCCTTCCCCCACCCCCGGCCTCTGGACAAGAGCATTGTGCTTTCTGTATCTGTATCTGAATTTCCCTACTCTAAGTATGTTATGTAAGTGGACTCATACCCACATATGATAACTGTCCTTTTGTGCCTGGTTTATTTCACTTTGTGCAAGTTGCCAAAGGTTCATCCAGGTTGTGGCCTGTGACAGGGTTTCTTTCCTTTGTGGCCCTGACACATTCAGGTCATCTATTCACCCATCTGCGGACATTGCACTTGCCTCCACCTTGACCTATTGTGATCAGTGCTGCCATAAATACTGGTATCATAAATATCTCTTGAGTAGAGCCCTATATTGTGTAATTTTAACAGGTTGTATCAGGATATCCCTTGATTCCTCATCATATCTTCTCTTCCATTTGAAATAAGGACCAAGACGCCTAGGATCCCACAGTGTCAACCCAGGAGTCAGTCTCATCGCATTTCATCAAATGATCACCATATGTTATCAAATTGTAGTGTTCATAAATATTAAGATGAATTATAATTGCAATGCCAGCAGAAAATTATTTAAAACTGCGAATTTATTACAAGTCTTAATATATTAAAATGTGAAAAAGAATGTGTCTCAGACTAAATGAAATACGGTATGTACAACTTAATGGTTACTTCTCTTTGGCTTCCCATTTTAAAAATTTTCTTCTTCTGCTTCTGCAAACTCCCATTCTCAAAATAAGCTATTTGTACATATGCTAAGGTAATTGTATTGCATAGCAGGGCATTTTTTATGTAAAGTGTTAAAAAAAATAACAAATAGAGCTGAAGAAGGTCATGCACAGAGGGCTCTCATGCTTGTTTGAATAATAACAAAAACTATCAACAAAGAGTTTGCACAAAGGCCACAACAACCTCATACAAAATGTGTGGTGCAAAGACATCTGTGTAGGAATGATCTGTCCAACCTCTGGCAGGCATACAAAGAGCAGATAGGAGGTGCTATCTTAGGAGAAACATCTCTAAAGTTTTGGTGTGGGAGATGTAAGCATCCTTCTTCCCTTATTAATGCCGCATAAGGGGATAAGAAGGCATAAACATAGACAGACATGAGATATTGCAAAAGGACAATAGGCTGCTGCTGATTCTACAACCTTGTCCTAAAAGTTACCTTCAACTTAGATTGGAGGTACATATAGCAAAGCTCCTGGAGTTCTGCTGTCTCGTGACCATTCATTAATCACAACTCCAAAGGAAAAGAGCTACTAAAGAGATGGTCATGTACCAGCAGCAAATGTCTTTTTCCCCTCAACATTGGCTAAGACATAAGCCAATATTGTCCAGATTATGAATGGCAGTAGTTATGACATCTGATTCTGGGCTTTAGGTCTGTAGCTCTATAACACACAGAGCATGTACAGTAGCAAATGCCATTCTCCCCTCAAACATTGCATGGTGTAAGATAATTTTTCCTGAATTATAAATGGCAGTATTTAAGGTATTTAATTGTGGGATTTGTCTGGAGTTCTACAGTACATTTGGCATTGTAAATGCCTTCAAGTGAACGAATATCAATAAATACACATGGTGCCAGATCACAATGTAGGATAAGGGATATCAGACAGAGGAGGAGCTAAGAAAGAGGAGACACTGAACCTTAGGAAGGAGCAATGACAGAGGGCTGAGAAGAGAGGGCAGCAGTGAGGGAAGAAGGCTCACTGCGGTGAATAAACCAAAAGGCTGCTTCTAGCATAAAGCCAGGTGCAAGCTAAGTGATTGCTTAACATCACTCTCTTATTCTATAATGTGGGAATAAAAGATAAGGAAGGTGAAATGAAATTTCAGAATCACACGAGGGATTTGTCAAGCTGCTCTGTAGGAAGTTAAGGACACAGAGAGCAACTGGATGTCAGGGAGGAAAGAGAAAGTCTGGAAGCCAAAGTTGGAAGGGAGAAAAATGAGAGACAGTGTACAGGGCTCAGGGATGTGGGAGGCACACTTCTTTTTCTGAAATGCAATTTGGATCCAGAAGAGATTTGTCAGTTAGAAAAGAGAGGAAGTCACTACAGCTACTGAGAAAAAGGTTTGCTGAAATCACAGACCAAATACCAGTTCTGCCAGTGAAAAGGTCCATTTCCCAGGGAAATGCTGCTTCTGCCATTTCAACTGTTAGCTGTTCTCCTCCCAGGTGTTGACAATGAGGATGGTAAGAGTCACTCTGGCAGTGCCCAGTACTAGTGCAGGGCATCTGGGTAAGCAGCTGCACTACTCAGGTGCACTTGGACACGAAGGGTCTGAGCCCTGCATTCTCCAGCCCTTTTCAGCTTTTCGGGGAGCCTGAATCCCTGGGGCAGGCACATGTGTCGGCCTTTATGTGCTCTTCAGCATCCAGTCATCTGGATCTTTTCCATTTCCGTTCCTTCTCACTCCCTCCTACTTGTCCCTTTCTCTTCACAGGCTTCCAGGGACCAAGCTCTTACCATGTCATCCAGATCTCATCCTTTGCCAACAACACCTGGGCAAAAAATCGAGGTTCAGGCTGGTTGGATGATTTGCAGATTCACGGCTGGGACAGTGACTTGGGCACTGGCATATTCCTGAAGCCCTGGTCCAAAGGCAACCTCAGTGATGAGGAGATTGCTGAGCTGGAGGAACTATTCCGAATCTACTTCTATGGATTTACTGAAGAAATCCAGGAGCATGCCACTGAATTCCAGATAGAATGTGAGTTTAGTACCCTGAGCTGCAAAGATGCTCAAGGACTTTCTTCTCTCCCTTTTTGCAAATTGCTAATGCCCCTGATCCTCCTCCCTGCTTTCTGCTCTACCCAACTGTGTGCACACTCTCTCCTAGAGTAGTCCTTCCCTCTGACTCTGTACTTCACACCATATTGCAGATTCTGACCACCTCTGACTCTTCTCTGAGAGGTCCAGGCTCCCTGTAACCAAAGCCTGCTTTGTCTTATGTGGACCTGGCTCCTCAAGGGCCCTTTATCTCTCCCCGTCCTGAGTGACCTGCGATGTGGCTCCATCCTCTGATCTATCTCCTCAATTGTCTCCTCCCTACACTGCTCTTCCTGTAGTCCTCTGTCTCAGGCTGAAGTGCTGTGCTCTGGGCTGCATCACACTCTGCCTCCCCACCCCCCTTCTACTATACCCCTCACACCTTTCCAAGGCTCTTCTTTTTTTTTCTTTTTTTTGAGACAGAGCCTCAAGCTGTCACCCTGGGTAGAGTGCTGTGGCATCACAGCTCACAGCAACCTCCAACTCCTGGGCTCAAGCGAGTCTCCTGCCTCAGCCTCCCAAGTAGCTGGGACCACAGGCACCCGCCACAACACCCAGCTATTTTTTGGTTGCAGCCGTCATTGTTGTTTTGGCGGGCCTGGGCTGGAGTTGAACCCGCCACCTTAGGTGTATGTGGCTGATGCCTTAGCCATTTGGGCCACAGGTGACAAGCCCCCAAGGCTCTTCTTTCTGGAAAGTTCTAAAAGCTGTAGTTGGGGTTTAGCTCATCATTTCACATCCAAGGACTTCATACCAACCAAAATCTAACATCCTAGGTCCTTTTCTTCTGACTTTGTTTCTTATTCATGTTTAATAACCTGTTCTATGATTTCTTTCTACCTAGACCCCTTTGAGATCCAGGGCATAGCAGGCTGTCAGCTACATTCTGGGGGAGCCATAACAATCTTCGTGAGTGGAGCTTTAGGAGGACTGGATTTCCTGAGATTTGACAATGATACATGTGTGCCTTCCCCAGAGGGTGGTATCAAAGCACGGATACTCTGCACACTACTCATGCAATATCAGGGAATGATCGTCATTGCAAAGAAGCTCCTGTTTGAAACCTGCCCCCAATTTCTGTTGAGCATCCTGGATGCAGGGAAGGCAGAGCTGCAAAGGCAAGGTGAGTCCTGCTCTCTACTTCACTGAGCTCAAGACTAGGAAGGTATCTGATAGGATAGGGGCTTAATCAACAAATTACTTGTTATCCAAAGCACTGGACGGGGTTATTGACCCCTGTTGGAGGTTTCTGAGTCGCAGTGGTCTGAATTCAAATCATAATAAAACGCTCTCACTGCCCTTTCCTGCTACAGTGAAGCCTGAGGCCTGGCTGTCCAGTGGCCCCAGCCCTGGACCTGGCCGTCAGCTGTTGGTCTGCCACGTCTCAGGATTCTACCCAAAGCCCGTGTGGGTGATGTGGATGCGGGGTGAGCAGGAGCAGCCGGGCACTCAGCACAGCGACCTCCTGCCCAATGCAGACTGGACATGGTATCTCCGAGCAACCCTGGACGTGGCAGCTGAGGAGGCGGCCAGCCTGTCCTGCCGGGTGAAGCACAGCAGTCTAGAGGGCCATGACATCGTCCTCCACTGGGGTGAGAGAGAGCTGGAATGCGAGGCTGAACATGGGTGGAGGAATTTCTCAGGCACACAGGGAGGTATTGGCCAAGGATGGAGCTTGACAGATTAAGAGGGTCAGAGAGAGAGACTGATTCATTTTGAGGACACAAATTCCAACAGGAATAAAAATAAAGGAGCCAAGATGTGGAAGAGGTAAAAATGAAGGGTCTATAGGCTGTAGTTGTTGGGCTAAAAGGATCACAGGATGGATGGATGGAATGGGGAATATAGAGGAGTGTGGGGATGCCCACATATTGGAAGCAGGTGAGTGGTGGTGCTGGCACGAAGATGTCCAAAGGAAGCCAGGGGATTTCAAGGCATGGGGTGGGATGTGACGTCCTTTTGTTCTTTGCCAATTTCCAGGACAACCCATCTCTATTGCTTTGATGTGTGTGGCAATAATAGTGCCCTCCTTCATCCTTTTACTGATCTTTGCATTATGGTATATGAGGCGCTGGTGAGTTTTGGTGTTTTTTCAATTGTTCTTTTCTCCCCATGTTCCCACTCTGTTCCATCATTTTATCTATTTCATTGCTTTAGCTTCAATCTTTCCACCAGACTCTTTCTTACCACTTTCTATCTCCTTTATGTGGAGATACATATTTTTAATCCTGTTAAAATACACAAAACAAAATGTGCCATCTTTACCATTATTAAGCGTACGGCTGAGTGATGTTAAGTGCATTCACATTATTATGAAGCAATCTCCAGAGCTCTTCCATCCCTCAGAACTGAATCTCTATTCCTATAGAACAGAAATTCCTCATTTCCCCCTACCCCCAACTCTAGCATCTGAACAGGACCATTGTACTTTCTGTATCTATGAATTTGCCCAGTAGATACATCATGTAAGTGGATCCATACCCATATATGGTAACTGTCTTTTTGTTACTGGTTTATTTCACTTAATATAAGCTCCCCAAGATTCATCCATGTTGTGGGGTTCCTTTCCTTTGTGGGCCTGACACATTCAGATCATGCATTCACCCATCTGTGGACATTGCACTTACCTTCACCTTGACCTGTAGTGGATAATGCTGCTGTAAAACAGGTGTACAAATATCTCTTATGTAGAGCCCTGTATTGTGTGGTTTTAACAGGTCATATCAAGATATCCCTTGAGTCTTCATCGTGTCTTCTCTTGCATTTGGAATAAGGACCAAGAAGCCTCAGATCCCGCAGTGTCAACACAAGAGTAGGTCTCATGACAGTTGATCAAATGATCACCACAATTTGTCAAAGTGGACTTTCTACAGATTTTAGGACAAATTATAATTGCATTGCCAGTAGACAATGATTTAAATCAGTCAATATAGTACCAGTCTGTATGAATAGTATGATCTATGTCTTATATATTAAAATGTGAGGAAGAATGTGTCTCAAAATAAAAGAAATGCAATATATACAACTTAATAGTGGTTTCCTTCAATTTTCTATTTTTTAAAGTTTCCTTTTTTGCTTCTACTAAATTCTCATTTCTCAGAGTAAACTAAATATACATATGCGGAGATAATTGTATTGCCCAGCAGGGCATTTTCGTGTACTTCTCTGTCTCTGCCTGGAGGACTTTCTCACCCTCAAAGCCCAGCTGAGAAGCTTCCTCCCTTTCGCTGCTGCCATGGGAGTAACCCTCTTTGTCTGCTATCACCCACAGACCCTCTGTACTCATAACCCACAGCACTGCAGTTATTTGGTGTGCCTTTCTTCCCCACTTGTAAGTTCCCTGAGGTTAGTGCTGACTATGGATCCCTGGTAAGATCTCCTCCCAGCAAATGCATTTTCCCAGTAAAAATTAGATCTGAGTGCTGACTGTCAAGTTGATGGTCTTCTTCCAGAGTCATCTCCTCCCTTTCTCTTTAGTTCATATTCTAGATCTTCCTCTTTGTGCTACATTACTTTCCACTTAGACAAAAATCATTCTCCTTTTCTTGTTTCTGCTCTAAATTCCTCTGGAGAAAACCACCCTTATCCTTACTGTAACTAATAGTCTACCTTCAAAGAGTCACTGTGGTTGAATATTGCTTCACACTCTTCCAGTGAGAGTGAATGAAAGGCAGGGTGAGTGAGAAGGAATAGTTCAGGTGACTGGGACATACCCAAGCAGAAGAATTAAGAGGGCTGTTGCTGCCGTCAGGGTCCTTGCTTGATGTCTGTGCTATATCAGTGCAGTTGCATTTTTGTTTTTTGGTTTTTTTTTTTTTTTT